CTCTCTCTCTCTCGCGTGCTCAGGGGATCCTGTCAGACGCGACGCTCGTTCTACCCCTAAACCCTAATACCCTAAACCCCCTAAACCGACACTGACCCTTCCCTGCGCCTTGCAGCCCGCCCGAGCTTGGGCCGACAGGTACTCGATAATCACCTTTCTTAGGGCTTGGGATTTTGGGGTTTTGGGGTTGAGGGTTTGGGATTTTGGGGTTTTGGGGTTGAGGGGTTAGGGGTTTCGGATTTAGGGTTTGGGGGTTAATCACCTTTTTTTCCCTCTCGCATGGCTGAGGATCTATGCAAACTAGCGAGGTTGTACAAGAAGCAACCTAATCACCTTTCTAGGGTTTAGGCTTTTGGGGTTTCCGGTTTTTTTTTCCGGGTTTAGGGGTGTAGGATTTAGAGGTTTCAGGCTTTTGGGGTTTCCGGGTTTTTTTTTCCGGGTTTAGGGGTCTAGGTTTAGGCTCTCACAACTCGGACATGCCAGGCGAGGTTCATGGGTACCAGTCGGCGTGAAACAAGCAAACAAGCCGCTCATGCTTTCAACTATGACAAAGGAAAAACTGAAAAAGAACCCAACAGGCCATCAAGTCCAACCATGCATGCAGCGGCATCTGACACTAGGCGGTAGAAGCTTCAGTGAACAAGACACAACAGCGCACATTGGCACTGCCAAGACCTACAGCTCAAACTACACTCGCACTCAGTACTACTCAAAGTCGTCAGGTTCCCCTTTAACACATGGTTTGCCCACATGCGGGGGGCATTCTGGCACAGTCGCGCTCGCAAGGTGTCAAGCACCCTGCAGTTTTGTCCCCATCTTTGCAGCAAGGTTCACGGTCACCATTGTCGTCCCTACTCATGGCTTGCCCACAAGGGAGGCACCGACAAAGAGCATCAACCACGGGGTGTCATGCACCCTGCAGTCTGTCCGTCTCTCCGACTGAGCAGTTGGCACGCATCTCCTCATCGGGGGGTGAGCCCTCAATGGCAATGTGCTTTGATCAGGTCTCAGCATTGGCGGGGCTTCAGGAGGATCCATGTACCTGCCAAGCCATCTGTTTGGTTTTGCCGTCTTCTTCCTCTTTCATCAAATCCAGACCCACAGTGGAATCCGCCATCAGACATGGCCCGGAGCAGCACACCATTCAGGTTTCGAGCGTAACTGAAGAGTCCATGTTTGCTGTAATTTGCGAGAGAAGCACATACCCTGAGCCCTCTCCCCATCTGAGCAAGAACCGGCACCAGATAAGCAACCAAATCGCCTTCCAGTTTCAATCATCTCGCCCAGCCGACTACAGCTATGGCCGCACACGAGGTAGCGAATGCCCCAAATTGGCACAGTCTGTCAGTCCATGGCTGTTGGACAGAGGCGCGGGTTAGTGGTTTTATTAGGGGGGCGGAAATCACAGGATAGAACCCAAGTGAGATTAAGACACAAAAGACCCCTAGTCCCCTAGCCCTCGGAGTCCGTAAGACAATCGTCATCTCAAAACCCATGTCACCATCGACGGAGGGACATGCATCATGCATCCGGGCTGAGCTCTTGCATCGACGGGTCCTGACATCGGTGTCGTCATGCACATGCATCAAATTCATCAGTCCAGCAAAGGCAGCACAGGCATGCAAGGCAGCAGTACAAGCAAATTCAGGAGGGAGGTTCCAAAGCGGGGATGGAGTCGCTCGAATCAGAGTCAGAGTATATCTCGATGACCTCTCGGGAGTCTCTCTCAGCAACCGGCAACCTGAGGCATTCCTGGAGGGTCCTTTGTCGCATGCGAGGCTCATGAAGGGTCTCAAACATATATCGGCTAATGTCGCTGGTTTCTGGGACCTGAAAACCTTGCTCCCCAAGCAACCAGCGATCAACCGGCTTAAGAGTGCTCACATGCATGGTCGTGAAGGCTGCAAGTACAACTCTTCTACGGACGCTAGGGCACCCTGCATGAAGCCTCCTACGAGCATCGAAAACAAGCGGCCTAGGGTAAATGGGCAGGGTACTTCCCATAATCACAAATCCTAGGTGTTCTCTGCAGTGCACCCCCACGGGGTCTTGCATCCATAGGCCTTCGTGGGACCTGGTGGGTGTCAGGGAAACTAGCAGAGAGGGCTGTGGGCCGTTCCTACAGTCGCGGTGGGGCCTGGACATACACCTATCCCTAACAACAAAGGAGGTGTACTTAAAGTGTGGCGCAAGACCAAAAAGGAAACGGTTCACAACTTTGACGAAAAAGGGGGCCTTGTAGTTAGGCTCACCGGGCTTCTAGGGTTGCTACCAGCACAAAGGAACCGTTCCCCAGCGTTTGCGGAGAGCAGACAGGGAGGCATCTCATCCCAGAGTGCGAGCACTTCCGCATGTGTGGGAGTGGCCCCTGTCATCACCAATGTGTTGCATTTGGCTTCAAACTCGAGGAGACTGAGTTTGGGCGAGGGCTCAATATCTGACAGGTCGATCACCTCAGAGGGCGAGGGCTTCAACTCCCAAAACATGATCCCTTGCTGGAGCCGAAGACTTCCCATCCACGTGGCTAGACATCACAAAGATACACCACGGGCTTGGGCTTTCCTCCATCTCAACTGCTGCTGTTAGACAGTATGCGAGCGCCAACCTCTTTTACACATGCAGCAGACAGTGCAGACAGTACCATGCAAAGTGTCGTGTGGCATCAAGGGCAGCGGAAAACGGCACAGCAAAAGATCCGCTTCATGAGACGCCTGCTGTGGTGGGCCCCGCGAACACAGGAGCGTTGGGAGTGGGGGAGAACAAAAGTCTTATGCCAGGCTAAAGACTAAAGGAAAACCAACGCAAAGAGCAAGGGTGCTCGCAGTGCCTCAGTACTCATGCATCATGCAAAGGAAGGTTTAAATTCAGGCATGCAGCGAAGCAGAAAGCAAATTCGGGCATGCAAGCAAAGAGCCCAAACATCGCTTGCTCCGCTAAGCTGCCATTCCAGGCGCTACAGACGATCCTACACAGGTAATCCCTCTCAGCGCTGCATGTGAACCGGGATGTTGATGCTCCTTCCCTCTCCCATGTCCACTGTAACCTGAGGCGACGAGCCCTGTGCGCGAGAGATCGGCAGAGCGCGTTGAAGGTGGATGTGTTGGCGTCCACCCGGGATAGCCGGCTCGTAGCTCGGGGGAGCCATAGGAGGAGGCGGAGCCGAGGTTCCCGGCATAGCTCCTCCACCCTGCATCGCCACCGGGACCGGGCGTTCGCAGTAGTCCCTGATTGTGCGCACTTGGTCTACTGCGTCGGCCAACACCTGGGCCACCTGCCAGATGTTGTCCTTGTGGCTGGCCTGCTCCGTTTGGACCAGGTGAAGCGCTGCCAAAAGCTCTTGTCCCAACCCATCTGTTTGTTTCGACAACTCAGTGAGCTGGCGAGTCACCGAGGAGTGACTCTCAAAGTCGGTGTTCTTCATCTGCTTCAAGACCTCCTTGATCCCGTGCTCCAAATTATCGTGTTTCACTCCTATGAGCAGCTGGGTATCCGCGCTGTAGCTCTTGGCCGCCCCACCAATGGCAGTCAAGTGCTTCTGTATCTCCTTCAAGAGGGAGTCTTGCGTCTTGGCCATGCTGTCGAAGTTCGTGCCGATGGTCTGCACCCTACCATTCAGCTGGCCAAGCACTGCCTCAATGCCTGTCAGGCGAGTGTTGACGTCCTTGACATCCTTGTCGCTTGCAGCAAGGTACTTCAAGACAGTCAGGATCTCCCTTTTAATGCTTTCAGACTCTTTGATAGTCTGATCCGTCTTCCCGCCCAAACCCTCCGCGCCATCAAGGAGGCCCAGGACACGCTCAGAAAACTGCTGTAGGCACTCACGTACTGTCTTGATCTCCGAGTGGAGGACCTTGGGGGTCACCTGAATGGTCTCTCCAGTTCCTGGGGACTTCTTGGCCCCAGAGTCGTCTGTACTCGCCTGCGCAGATTGTTGAGAAGCATCCACGGCAGGCCCATCTTTTGCATCCACAGACTTTGGCGGGGGCGGAGCTGCATCAACAGTCTTATTCTTTGCAGGTGATGCAGGATCGATAGACTTCTTGTCGGGCTTCTCCCTAGTAGAGCCTTGTTCTGGTCCACCAGTCGGAGGTGTCGTAGTTGTTGAAGTCGATGTCGGTGCGGGGGGCCCTGTTACCGGTGCTGGTCCAGGCTTCTGGGCCCACCTATTCCAAGCTCTGACAACTGCAATGACAAAGAGAGTCAATGCAATCGTGAGCAGCTGTGTCATGATCTGCATAGCCCACTCGTTCATGTACCACGGTGTTTGCCCCTCGGAGTGGGGCGATTGAGCCGCACCTGAGTCCGGTGCCACAGGCGCCGGGGGAGGCGGCCTTGCACGAGGCACCTGATCTGAGAAAGGGGCTGGCGCGGACATGGCTAGCTACAAGGAGCAATCACTGGAACTCGAGAGGCAATCAGCGCTGAGCAATAAAATGTCCGTCCTGCCCCCCCCCCCCCTTCTCACAGCAATCCCCAGTCAGGAAGCTACTTCAAATGGGGGACGTCAAACACTAGGGCGGTCGATGAGAGACCTCCTTGAAATCCTGAAATAGCTCCCCCAAACTCAACATCCTTCACAGAAAAATGAGAACAGTGGCCACCAACTTCTGAACCGGCAGGGATCCAAATGAGCCGACATCTCCGAAAGCCCAGTATTCAAAAAGACAGGTCCTTGTAGTATTTGGCTTGGCTGAAGTCAGACTTACGGCACTGTTTCCTGGAAAGGGCCCAAAGGTTTGGGGGATTACTGTTTCAACCCAGTGTGGTGTTTTTTTGGGGTGCAGGTAGCAGTATGACAAGAAATCAATTTGGGTCTCCAGGTTGTCCAAACGATGTACTCGAGCAAGGAGTTCGAGGGGTACCTGGTGGCTGAGGATGTGCGCCCCGAAGGCCTGGGGGGGGATGAAGCAAGGTGCTCTGGAGTCTTGAAGATGAGGCAGCCATCTCCAGAGGGACTGGAGAGACTCCCAGAGACAAAGTCTCCGGCGTAGGAGGTCTCCAGAATCGCACAGTACCTGAACATGGGTCGCCTGGGCATGGTGCTCCTTAGGTGGTATGATAGACAGGCAAACTCCCGTGTCCAAAAGGCGTGCCCATACCATCCATTGTTTAAGCCGTGGAACTCCGCGCTCTATGTGTTGGACCTCTCGGCTGTAGGGTTCATCGGGAAACACACGGGCGGGCCTAAGGACTGCAAGGGACTTACCAACAAGAACCAGTTGACGATCATACAGATAATTGTCAGGGAGGCGGGCGATCTCGGAGGAGCCATACCCCCACTTCCTAAGCCAGCGAGGTAAGGCGGCGGCCCAGCAGTCTCTTTCCTGTGCCAGCCCTTCGATATTAGCAAAGGGCGAACCGTCCCTAAGAAGGTTCCATACGAGTTGCAGCTTTCGAGGAATGAAGAAGAGCAGGTCAGAGGCTGCGGATCTGCCAGAAATGACCCTCCAAGAAGACCCTTTGGCAAGAAGGTGTTGCAGCGGCAAATCGGCCTTGCTACGAAAAACATGCCCCCAAAAGGTCCAAAGTCTAGTGAGCCACAGTTCTCCCCATCTGGCTGAATTGTGGATCTCGCAAGTGACCTTGACGACCCTCCTCCTACTCACCACATTGGCAAGGAAAGGCTGGAGGGGATCTG